CCCCCTCTCTCCCCGGCCACAAAACAATAAGCCGTACTCGCGCAGATGAGAAATTTCTCATAGCAGCTGTCCCGGTGTGCGGTTTGGAGCTTGTTTGTGCGGCCTCTCGTGGACATTGCCTCCTATCCCCCCCATCCCCCCGTCCTCTTCCTCTCCTCTCTTTCTCCCTCTCCCATTGCGCGAGCCTTGTAATGCTTCACTAACCCTCTACCCTGCCTCCCCCTCCCCTTCTCCCTCTCCACACAGCCAGCATGAAGCGCTTACAATGCTCTTGCCCCCTATCCCCTTCTTCTCTCCCCCCCACCCCTCCCCGGGTCCAGGCCCTGGCCGCCTATGCTAGGCAGGAGTTCTGCATACTCAAATACGGTAAGGCAAAGTCAAGCTCGCAGCTGTATAGCACCGCTGCTATGCACCATTGCACACTGCACATTACCATCTTGCAAAAAAAAAAAAGAAAAAAAAAAAAGGGTTTCCCCCCCTGCTCCCTCCCCCATAGCAGAGGTGCAGGGTTTTGACTGTAAAAGAAACGTCTGTGTTTTGTCCACGAGCGCCCAGCAGCTTCAGTGTGTCGCGGTGGCCTCAGGGACGCGGAGTGCGCCCTCACGGTCCCCCGCTGGCGACGGCACGTGGACCGCTGCCGGATCAAGATGACGCCCCTCGACTTGGCCAAAATGGTTCAATCGCGGCCACGTGTGAGTGTGTTTACGCGCTTTTGACCCCCCCCCCTCCCCTTCCTTCAACCCTTGTGGTCCACCGACACGGCGGGGCAGAGTGGCGGACCAGGGGGTCCAAGGCCGCGAGCAGCGCGCGCTGGCTGCGGCTCTACTCTGGCGCCCTGCTCTACTCTGGGCCCCGGCTCTGGAGCGGGGCGCGTGGCTCTGCCTGTGGGCGCCTGTGGGCTGGGCAGGCTGGGCCCGCCCCCCGGGCCGGAGCGCGTCCCAGGCAGCGCGGCAGGCCTGGGTCCCCAACCCCCCCGGGTCCCCCCGGGCCTTGGGACCCCACCCACTATCAGGGTGGTGGGGGCCCCACACTGTGAGGCGAGGGCTGCGCGGGGGTTGCGCTCGCGAGCCCCCAGCTCTCCAGCGGGCGTCCTGCCCCGGCCCGCCGTAGCGAGCGTACTGCCGCCCCGGCGCTGGGGGGCTGCTGGGCTGAACCAGGCCAGGGGTGGTGGGGGGAGGGCGGGCCGCGCAGCCGCGCACGCGTGCTGGACCGGCTGCTGTGGGGCGGGGACCTGCGGGGACCCGCGGGGACCCGTAAGGGGGGTGGGTGGGAGTGCGCAGGGTAGCCCGGGGTAGCCCAGGGCAGCCAGGCCAGGCAGCCCAGCGGGCGAGGCAGGAGGCAAGCTCAGAGGCGAAGTAGCTGTGTTCGCTGCGGGTTCGGGACGGCCGAGGTTCCATGGGGCCATGGGGGTCGTGTAGGGCCCAGTGAGCACCAAAGGCGAGGGAGAGAGGGCAGTCCTTATGGCAGCGACGAGCAGCAGTGGCAGCAGTGCGACGCCCGTGGTCGACGCCATGGACGAAGAGGACCTTCTCCATGTCGCGTAGGGCGCCGCCCCCCATGGGCGCGGGCAAGGGGTCGGGCCGCCCGCCCGCCCTGCCCGCGCTCCTGCCCGCCTGCCTGCCCGCCCTGCCCGCGCTCCTGCTGGCAGCGGCCATCTTAACGACGATGCCCAGAGGTAAGTGAACCTGTTGCCAAATGCTGTGCAAAGAAGAGTTGAACAGTGTGTGCGCGCGGTGGCGACCGGGGGCGGCCGCGGGCCGCGGGGGGGCCGTGGACGAGCCAGTGCGGATCCCCGCGCCCTCTCCGCTCGCCCCCCTCCCCTCCCCCCACCCCCGGCGAGGGGTGGCGCTCGACCGCGGGTCCTGGTGTTGGGCCTGCAGGGCCTGCCCCTCATCGTAAGCCTTGGCCTGCGACCGCAGGGCTGGGTGTCTACGTGATCCTGGCCTACTATGCGCTTCGCAGAAATGAAACGGGTTATCTAGGAAAAGTACACTTGAAGCGTTGTTGTAATGCGAGTTGGATGACTGAGGCCATTGTGTATGGGAGTGTGTGTGAGTGTTTCCGCGCGCGCGCGCGCTTTGGTGTTGGTGTGGGGGTGTGTGTTGGTTTGTGTTGGTGGGCGCTTGTATTCTCACGAGGCTACGCTAGATCCCTGTGCGCGGCGGTTGAGCTGCGGCTGGGACCCTCGCTCTCCCTCCTTCTCTCTCTCTCTGTCTGTCTCTCTCGCACCCTCACTTCTCCACAGCTGAACGCCCTGCTCTCCTCGCTGCTCGCACGTATTCGCTCGTGTCGCGAAATCTAGCGTCCTTTCCCTTTGTGCCTGCTGGGCCCCAAACCTTTTGCGCGCACAATGCCTGTCGCTGTCCGGCCGCCGCAGGGGAGGACGGCGGTGGGCAGCAGGAGACAGGTCGTGGCGCTGGCGCTAGCGCTGCTGCAGTCCTGTGGGGCGGGCGCTCCCGCAGGGCCGCAGGTCGCAACCCGCCTGGCAGGCAGGCAACCCTGAGATTGCCGAGTGCTGGAGGCAAGGCGCCCGGGGGAGGTGTAGGCGGGGTGGAAGGCGTTGGCGCAGGGAGGGCGTGTAAAGAGGGCATGGTCGTTTGCGCCCGTTTACTCATAGCAAGCTGAACTTTGCTTCCAAAAGTAACACATTTTGTCGACAGTATAGGAAATTTTGTTTTGTTATTTATTGCGTTGCGTGAACAATTTGATAATTTGTGGTTTGCTTTCCCGTTATCCTTTTAACTTATAAGTGCCAGCAAACGCACTCACCGTCGTGGAGTAAATAAACCTACCTTGCACCTTGCGCGTTGCTATAGACTAAATTGGTAATTCTTCAGCTTCAGCTAACAACTAATGAAAGAATATCCCACGTCTACCGGGTGTAACTGTGAATGCGCAGTAGTGTTGCGGGTTTGCCTACCCAATTCGCCTGTAAGGCGCGATGGCCCCTGCAGCCCTGGCGGGTATGCATTCCCGTAACACTGCTGCGCATTCACAGTTACACCCGGTACACTCCAGCAAAACTGTTTTCTTCGTCTCGAACATTTTGTACTTGTTTGAAAGTAAATGCTCACACAGGACCAAATTTCTCTTAAAAACAAGCCGATAATATATCCTTTGGACACAAGATAAGTCTTCTTCCAAAAGATAACATAGCCGTGTTTCCATAAGCTTAAGTCGGAATTAAGTGGTTTCGCGTTTGTGTGCGTGCCTCCCTCTGCAGAGGTGACAACCCACGGACGCGCGGCGGGCCGCAGTCCACCGGCGCCGCCGCATTCAGACGGGTGACGCCGACGAGCCGGAAATATTGAAGCGAGCTGGGGGGAATGAAAAATGTCACTTGAGAGAGTTGCCGTCCTCGCCGTAACGACCCCCCC